ACAAGAGGCATTCGAACCACTTGACAGGCATTTTGTCCTCATTCATGACTGAATCTCCCGCGAGAAATTGCATATCGTAGTGATTCAGCTTCGTTTTGTAAAAGCGATCACGGTAGTTGTCTCCGAACTTGGACTCTGGGAAGCCATGAGCACAGCTCTGAAACTCCACCATGCCATCGTTTTCCTTGGACTTGTGTGGAATACTATGGCCTAGCGCCCAAAATTTGGCCTGATATTTGGATACTAGGCCAGAGTATGATCTGCCACACATTAGCGCAGCCACATTCTCTCGGTAGGCCATCTGGGCAGCCTCATACTCTTTGTTCATGCTGGGAGTACTGTGATTCCCATTCTCGTAAGCTAGCGACTTCAGGCCGGTATTTGGCGGGCATCTTCCTGTAATGTCGCCAATCTCTTCCCACATTATGTTGGTCTCTCCAGAACAAGACTCCTGAACAAAGTCAGACGCCATACTTCCGATCATTGGACCAGCCATTCCTACCCATGTGGAGCTTGAATCCAAGCTGCACTTCCCAGTAGCAAGCGCTCCAGCAAACATCAAGTTACCCATCGAGTGTGTGACCACGATCGTATCAGAAATAACTGACTTGGTGCTTGTACTGCTGACAGCAAGAGCGCGGTTACAGACTTTGCTTTGTAGAGTCTTGCTAGTCCAGGTATTGTTCACCGTGTCGAGGTGGGCGTATTTAACTGAAGAGCAGCAGGGCGTGTGGCCTTTAATGGCGTCACCCCAGTAAGAGAACCAGTCTTCGTTATACGACGTCTCCGTCTTCACTCCAAGACCGTGAATGAAGATGCACGGCCGAGGGGTCGATTGACAAGTACAGACGGACTTGCCTCTAAAAGAAAAATCGAATGCAGCTTTCAAATTCCGTGAGTTTTTCGAGATCGACTGGCCAGTTAATAGTAGTTTTCCGATCGAAGTCACCGATGTAGGCGACACCACCTTTGTGCACTGGCTCTTGCTGTCCATAACAGGCATCTGGATATCAAAGCTCCTCTCCAAAAACTTCACATCGATGTCCATATCAGTCCCATGCATCGTGAATCCCGAAGAACTAGACGCACACAGCGCAAAATCGATACTTTTGATCGTAACTTTGAATAAATGTCCACTGGAACATTTGATGGCGTCACTGCCACTTCCAGACACACTCGATATAGCAGTAGCCTCGTTAATCGCGGTAACGATGGAGTTAATAGCTGGAAGTGTACCAGACTCCGAGTCCACACAGACCACATTGCTCTTCTCGAAGGAGCTGCCTGAGAATGAAGTAGTTGAAGCATACGCAGCACCGTCGATCAGTGTGTAGTTGTATAGATTCGTGTTGTCCTTGAACGATGCGAATGCGTCGTAGAGTACGTTGTCATTATTATCGGACAAGACAGGGTTGGCGTACATGGAGAAGTCGGAGTCGCCGTGAACTTTCATGGAGCTGCGCTTGAGCGTGAAGTGGAATCGTAGAGACGGCCAATTCCTTTGCTGAGCAGCAGCAACGTGAGCAGAGAGTACTAGTATCACCATTGAGGCGATCAGTACGCCTTGAAGAGAAGATGTCATGACTTCACCGAGTTGTGAAGAGTGGTGAAAGTCTCGCCTGACGTAGAAAATGAAAAATGAGTTAGGCAACTAGGAGTGGTTGGGAATGTCAAGTTCAAAGATAGAGTTGATAGCATCAAATTGATGCCGATCAAGAAGTGACCGAAGACATGGGTTGATGTTCGGTTCACAACAGGAAAATTTTGCCGTTCGATCGTTATCCTTGTGCTTTGGCACATTTTGCACTCCAATCTTTCCCATACAAAACAACAGAAATGCACGGTGTACGTATCATTTGTAAAACATCAACAAATCAAATAGAAAAAGATGTATTAATCTGAGTCGGGCGCTGTTACACCACATCAACACATTAAGGACATGTACCCAACCAAGCAATACCAACACTCAATAATAATATAAAAACACACAAAAAACTCTATTGTCAAGTCCTGGTGTACAGGTAGTTTACAGTAGGCAGTCGAACCACTTCAGAGGCATCTTCTCCTCATCTAGGAGTGAGTCGCCAGCTCGGAACTGCATGTCGTAATGGTTGAGTTTTGACACGTAGAAGCGGTCGCGGTAATTGCCCCCAAACTTCGATTCAGGAAATCCCGCAGCACAACTCTGGAATTCCACCATGCCGTCATTCAGCTTGGATTTGTGAGGAACCATTTCACTTAACCCCCAAAATTGAGCTTGGTACTTCGATATCAGTCCAGAGCTTGACTTACTGCACATGACAGCCGACACATTCGCACGATAAATCTCTTGAGCCGCTTTATACGCTGCATCCAAGGCTACGGAGCTGTAGCTTTCGCCTTCGTATGCTAATGACTTTAATCCAGTGTTGGCTGGGCATCGGCCAGTGATATTTCCGATCGTTTCCCATACAATATTGGTCTTTCCGGCGCAGGAGTCCTGGACAAAGTCCGAGCACATGCTTCCGAGCATCGGGCCGGCCATTCCTACCCATGTCGAGCTGATATCTAACCGGCATTTTCCGGTAGAGAGAGCTCCAGCGAACATGACATTTCCCATAGAGTGCGTGACGACGATAGTATCACTGATAACTGAGTCTTTGCTGGTGTTACTCGCAGACAACGCGCGGTTGCAAACTTTTCCTTGCAGAATAGCGTCCGTCCACATGCTATCCACTGTATTCAGGCGCGCAAACTTCATCGACGAGCAGCAAGGCCCATGTCCAGCCAAGTGTTTACCCCAATAATCCGTAAATTCGTCTTGGTTCTCGGGCATTTCTTCTTTTTCGCCGAGGCCATGGATAAATACACACGGACGAGGTGTCGACTTACAAGAACATGAGGACTTGTCCCTAAACGAGAAACTCGTCGCTTTCAGGTTCCTCGCTTTGTTCGAAATCTGTTGTCCCGTAAGCAACCCCTTACTGGTTACCGTAACCGAGCTCGCTAACGCTGTCTTCTTGCACTCCGTCTTGGATTTCTGAATTGGAATCACAATATCGATAGGGCTTTCGAGAAACTCCACGTCGATATCCATATCGCTTCCGTGCATGGTGAAGCCAGAGGATCCCGAAGCGTATAGAGCGAAGTCAACTCCTCTAACCGATACCTTAAACAGACTCCCACTGTCACAGTTGATACCTTCACTCTGCAATGTTAACGCCGTAGCATCGTTTAGAGCACTAACGATAGCGTTGATGTCGGGAAGTTTACTTGATTCAGCATCTACACAGCTTACGGATGGAGTTGCTTTACTGTCGTCCGAGTGGCTGCCTGAATAGGGAGTGCTCGAGGAGTGGGCGACTCCATCGATAATAGTGTAGTTGTAGAGCGTCGAGTCTTCTGTAAACGTCGCGAACACGTCGTAGAGCACGCCGTCCGCTTTGCTCGATACAATGGGGTTGGCGTACATGGAGAAGTCGGATTGACCGTGTACCGTCATGGAACTGCGCTTGACAGTGAAGTGGAACCGCAGTGATGGCCATTCTGTCGTGCTTTGGCCTGGTTGAGTAGCAGCAGCTGCCAGCACCGAGAGTGCAGATAATGCAGAGAATATAAACGCCACATTCAGCCTCGAAGACGCCATACTCCACAATTAATGGAGCTACCCGTGAAGCGCAATGAGTGCTGTACGACGAAGGTCAAATGAGCCGTGTCAATCGACACACTGTGCATTGCTGGTGGCGAATCGCCACTGGCGGTGCAAACAACCGGGCAAGCGACACACATCAATAGGGAGAAACATCAGGGAGCTGCCTCGCCATATTGCGAAGTAATATTATATTTCGACTACAGACGATCCCCTCGGTAGTAATCCCTAGAAATGGAATACTCCCTCAACAGCAATAAATTAGCGGTTCCCGTTGACCAGACACATACAGTACAACCCAAAATATTATTCCCTCTCACCCCTCAATCGTAAAATGGAATACATTTGAAGTCAAATATTCATATTCTGGGGTGCTTAACTATGGAAGTAGTCATAACTGCACAAGAGCAATATTGCTGCCAAGTCCGATCCGAGAGTTGAACCGATGAAGCCTATTCTTTTGACTACAGGTGACCACGGAAAAATTCGCCCCGAACAAAAATTCGCCATGAGACATGTCCGGATATTGGTCTGATACAAATCTTTCTTTCAATTGTAGCCAATGATATTCTGTTTAAGCAATTTATAAAAACCAATCAAAACCGCTTATAGTTTTACTGGACACGGCTGATAGAAAATTATGTCACTTCGAAACCAGAACGTGCGCGTCGAGCGCTCGTACAAAATACAATTCAAGCGGCAAGTTCTAGGGCTGCTGTCGTTGGTGTTGATAGACAGCAGCCCAGAAGCGCTTCGACATTATACGACGTACCATCATGGCCTGGGATGCTATTTCCAAAGAGAGTGTTCTCCACAGTTTTGAGAAGGCAAATCCTCGTCACTACGACGATCTAGAGTTTCTTTAATAAAATAGTTTTCTTATAACTTGAGTTTTATGTAAGTACACTTGCATTGCACCTGATGTTCTAAGTAACCAGCGACTACAAGAGGCATTCGAACCACTTGACAGGCATTTTGTCCTCATT